CACCAAGGCAAACTTTTGAAGAAATTTGCTGAAACCTGTAATTAGCTCTCCACTCAGTAAGGTTTTGGCAAGAGTTGTCATTGGTTTCCTTAAGAGTTGTAACTGAGAAGAACCAAAGGGTTATTTGGGTGTACAGTGAAATTATATATGTACACATAAACTTAAATAGAGCTTGTTAATGTGTTGTCAATAGGTATTAGAATGGATTGTTTTACATCAGGGAGAGCTAATGTTAAGTGTATCATTTTGAAGGGGTGCCAAATTCTAGCCCACCTGGGGCACTCCATGAATTGTCTCACTGTGGTCTGGGTTAACTGTCCTCATAACTCTTCCCTCCTTTTATTCGTTGCCTTCCATCCCAATTCTATGAGTTTCAAAGCTCTGGATCCCATCCTCTGTGCGCCTTCTCCCCGCCTCTGTGCCATGGTTCTGTCGGAGCTGTCCTTTCCTCTAGCAGGCACTTAGACTCATTACCTATGGAGGTTTGCAAAGTTCTTAGTAGATTAATTTTTTCAACTGTAAGTAGAAGCATTAATGGTAATAAAAATCCATACTTAAATAGAATTTTGTCAGGAATTTGAAAATGAATTCCAAATTTGTGCTTTGCTTCTTTGCTCTTGTTTGTATGTCTGGGCCAATTATCCCTTGGAGAACAGCAAATCATCCTTTACTTCCCACACACTTCTCATTCAAGTTAGGTTTAGAACTCCAGCTTCTGCCAACTGCTGTCACTCCCAGGTCACTTTTCCAATGACACAGGGAAACATAGGATATAGGAGTGATACAAAAACCAGCCTATTATTTCCTAGAAACCTACTACTAGGTGATGTTCTTATGCCACTTCTGATTGTGCTGAGGTGCCTACCCAGACCTGCTTCCTTTCTCAGAATCCTATGTCAACCTTAGTTCTCCTTCCACTATTCGGGGGAAAAAGTATTCCAAAATGCATGTTATTAATGTCTGATATAGCGATTATTTATAAGCTGTTGATGCTGGAAATGTCCCAAAGGCATTCCAGTTTTAACAAAGGTAGCCTTATTCCAAAGGAGCTTAAGGCCAATTGAGGAAATACTCTGTTCAGGAAGATAGGGGACCCTTAATGTTACCTTCTAATAACCCCATGCGATTGAAAGTGTTTGCTGCTTATACCAATCCTTTTAGTCAGCATCCTTGCATCTGGAGTGGGTATAAAGTCTTCCTTATGCATCTGGACCACCCTTGAAGGCTTCATTTTCTGACTCTATCAACAACCATTAGGACCTTTCCTCCAGTGTGGAGGTGACCCTATGCCATGTTCATTAACTCACACATTCACTCCCATTTTCCAAGCCTCCATCTTATGTCAGAACCACAGAAGGCATTGGGAATGGAATATGAATAAGAATACTTCCTGCTCCCAAGGAGCTAACCTTGTAAGTGAATGAGGCGAGTGTGTAAACAAATAATTATTTCAATGTACTATGCATGGTAATAGGGCTTGCACAAGGGCTTAATTCTGCCTGGAGAGGTCAGGAAAGTCTTTCCTGACGCACTCTCTACTGCCTGCTTCATCGTGATCTGTTTTGTGTATGCCAGTATTATTTTTCTAAGCAGATTATAAACTGTCATTTTGCCTCCCATAGTTCTGATCACAACACTTCACATGTACTAGTCACTCAATAAGTGTTTGTCAACTTATTGAATAAGCATAACTAAGCACAGTTTTGCCCAACTTTCCATTAACCACCTCTTGAGAATCAAAAGTGCAGTGGCGGAGATCACTCCTCAAAGGGCAGAGTCCAGCTATGACTTCCCACCCAGTCTTAGCTCATTTAGTGATTCCATTTTCATGACTCCCCATGCTGCCATACGTAGCCCACCCAGGCTACCCACCACACAGATCCAGAATGATGCAAATACCTTATTCAGACATGCTGGAATGTTTAACAATCTGAAAATGAAGAAATTGTATGTCAAGACTAAATAAATAAAACAAGCTCTCATCAACTCATCAGCATTTCTCCCCATACAATTCCCCCAGGGGGTGGTTCTCCAGCATTTGTCATAAACAGAATGGAGGTCATTAAAGCTTGGCAAAACCTAACAACATATCTAATTATAGGTTTGAAATCACAGAGCCAAGCAGTAACTACAGGGCATGCTGAGTTTAGTTACTTCTGAACACACTTTATTGCTTTGCTTGGGTAAATCATTCCCCATACTTAAAAAGAAGTGGAGATTTTTGCATCATCTCCAAAGGGGCAGTCAGTAGGACAGCATCCTCGGGCAGAACTAAAGAGTTTTGAAGTTTTCTAAATGGACTATTTCATGCAGTTGAACGGAAAGTAAAATTCTCACCAGCAGGCAAAACTAACCTTAAGGTCATCTGGAAAGAGCACCTGACAATTTACATTTATGTGATAAATCTGTCCCCCTCTTCAAGTTACTACCACCTATAAAGGAGTTACCAATATTTCTTAAAATTACTGGGGGAAATTGGGTAATTTGGTGAGTAGAAAAAAAAAAGAAGGAAATCATAGCTATGGTTTCAGTTTGCACTTTGTTTCTGGGAAAAACGTATTTTATGTGTGTGTGTTTTGTTCTACGCTTTTAAAAAATACTTCATAACATGAAATCTCATAACAATATCTATATTGTTTTGCAATGTAAGATATAAACATTTAAGCACATTTTAAAGACATTGATTGGCCTTATTTTTTTTTCTTTTTACTAGAGGATGTGTCACTGAAAGCAACCAAATTGATATACAAGATTACATAATTTAATTACATAATAATAAAGATTGGGTGATCTTTCCTATAGTGCATATAGATTATTGGTAAATTAAAACTATTTTTAAAATATATAGAATATTCCCAAATGATTTTCCTTGTCTTATAAGACAAATCATTTTATTAGTCTTTTTTTCAAAATATTATCAGATATTCTTGTCCTTTTATCCCTTCAAAAATGTCTAATATATATATATGTCAAATTCCTAAAATCTTCCTTTAGAATTTTGACTAAAATATAATAGACATAAATTAATTAGGGGAGCATCATCAACTTTATAAAGTTAAATCTTTTTTATCTACTTGTATGTTGTACTTTTCTTTTAATTCCAAGTCTTTTTGTTCTTGTTTTTTATTTGACTCATACAAAGTCTACACAATTCTAACTCCTTTTTGTGTAAGTATTGCGATTTTTATTTTTGAATTATTCTTTTAGTTATCAGTCTGCTCGTGCTCTATTGCAAGCATTGCTGAGAAGAAATATTAACCATGGCAAATAAATCCTTGCTGCTCTTCTCCAGGGAGCAGACTATATAGAAATTGCCATGCGAGAAGCAGTTCGACCACAAATTAGGGCCTGCTGTTTAGAAAGTTTCCCCGGTAAGTTCTGAATTGCAGTATTTGTTTGAAATCATTATCGTGCTGTTTCGTGTGTGTGTGTGTGTGTGTGTGTGTGTGTGTGTGTTGCTCCTTTCTCCCTATTGTTTTACTCCCTGTGGGATTTTTCCTCTATTTGACATTCACATATGCCTCCCATGCCTCCACTTGGGCTTTTGTAGAAAATACTGCCCATGTCTTTGAGAGGCCTTCTCGGGACACTAAGAAAAAATATTGTCTATGTCCTAAAGCCTTTGTTTAAAATCAGATAATTCAAACAGAGCCTCCAGATTGTGGAAATCCAACAATCCACTTTTATGAGATAAAACCATACAGATAAATGAAAACTTATTCACTTGATTTTATATATATATATATATATATAATATTCATGATTTTCTTTTTTGTCATCTATGGTTTTGTTCTTAGATAATTCTAGTTTCATAAAATAGACTATACACATTGCTGTCATTTTCTGAACTCTAAAACAACTCAGATAGTGTGGTAGATATTAAGTCCTTGAAAGTTTGAATTGACACTTCCATGAAAATTCATCTAAAAGTTGTACTTTGATGGCTGTTCCAATTCTCCTCTGTTCATTCATTCCATTTATTGAATGCCTGCCCTCTACTGAAAACCATATTAGGTATTTTTCAGTTTCTACTTACTCTTGATTCAATTTGGAGTAATTACTTTGTTCCAGAGATTCATCAATTTCATTGAGATAGTCAAATTGGGTAAAGTTGTGCTTAATCTTCTTTTATAATTTTTGAATCTCCTCTAATTTTGATTTTATAATTGTGTTCTCTTTTCTTTCTGATTAGACTTGTCATATTTGAGTACTCCATTGCTTATCTTTAAAGAGTTTGTCCTGAATATCTCAATTCTGTTTTTCCCCCTCTATTTTTAAGTATATTACCTTCTGATCACATTTTTCTTGTCTCTCTAAACTTTTATTTTTCTAATTTCTTAATTCATATTAATTTTTTTCTATAATAATGAAAGTCTACATAATAATGAACTTGTGATGATTGCTCTTGCCACATAACTATACTTTTTATATATAATGTTCTGTTTTTATTTTATAGTTTATAATTGTGTTTTTTTAATATATATTTATATATATATATATAAGCCAGCTAGAGTGCAGTGGCATCATCATAGTTCACTATAACCTCAAACTCTTGGGCTCAAGCGATCTTCTTACCTTAGCTTCCCTAGTAGCTGGGACTACAGATGTAGCCAGCACATCCAGCTAATTTTTCTATTTTTTGTAGAGACTGGGTCTCGCTCTTGCTCAGGCTGGTCTCAAACTCCTGCCTTGGCCTCGCATAGTGCTAGTGTTACAGGCATGAGCCACCACCCCAGCTTTATACTTTTATTATAAGGTTAACATACATTGTCATTTTACATTTCGCAGAAGAAACAGACACACTGAAGCAAGGAAAAACTTTTCATGCAGAACCTGTGTGTCTTCTGGCTTTGCATAATAACTGTGATCACTTCAAATATTTTAAAAATTATCTGATTAAAATTAAGGCACAGATATTTATTAATGGAATACAGCCAACATAAATTTCATTTTTAAGAGCTCTTATCTTCTTAGACTGATTTTTTTGTGTGTCTAATTCTGTACTCTATGAAGGCAAAAATTAAGTTTTATTCATCTTTTTATTCTCCAAGACTTGTATAGTTACAGGCACATAATAGGTTTGAATAAATTTTATTAAACACTTAAAGGCAGTCTATAGACAAGATAGTTTTCAGGACAAAAAACAATAATCAACTTTAGGAATCTGAGTAACCTTTGGAGATATCTGCATTCTACTAGTCAAAACAGTTGCTGTTTCAGCAACAGAAATTCAACTCAACTTGGTTTGAGAAAATAGAGGGGGCTTGTTGGGGAGTACATGGGTTGAACAGGTCACAGGCAATCATGCCAGGATCACAAATGACGTCTTCAAGACCGTGTCATTCTTGCTCCAGCCTCTGAATCTACTTTCTTGTGCATTGACTTTGTTCTCCATAAGGCTCTTGGCCCATGTCGGGAATGATGCCAATAGCAACTGCAAGCACACATGATTTACCAGTTAGCAATCCCAACCAGCAGGGACTTACCTCCCAGGTAAAGCCACCAGGAGGGCTCAATTCGGCCTATTCCTGACTCAATTCCTAAGATTGGGAGGGTGAGATGCTCCAAGATTCCAGGCCTAGGCATGTTCATACCCTAGTGATGAGGGTGAAAATGGGGCAGCTGTCCTCCTCCAGCTAGACTGGTGCCCAACAGGCAGGAGGGGCTATTTCCAAAGACCAAAGAATAAATGCTGGGGCAGGCAAAAAGTAAAAGATATTTGCAAAATCATTACTTTCATGAGTTTTGAATGTCCTGTTGTCAGTGGTAACATCGTTGCCTGACTTTAGTCCACAGCTCTGAGCTCCAGGAGCGCCACTGGTCCTCAGCTCTTGTCCTCAGTTCTCTTTCCCCTTTCTTTAGCCATGGGTTCTCAGCTCAAGTAGTGCACCTCCTTTTTTCTCTTTATATGGAAGAGTCGGGGAAAATTACATTTAACTCCAGACAGCTTGGGAAAAGTTAAAAGCAAAAGATGAATCTGAATACTGTCTGATAGTCCATTTTTAATCAGAAGAGAGCAATTTTCTCCTCTCAAAGAATGGCTCTTCACATCAGGTATTTGGTTTCTAGGTGCTTGCTGATTAATTACTTACATTTACATAACATTAATCTCCTTTCTAACAATTTAGCAGGCTTCCAGCCGTTTTTTCCCCACCTCATCAGTCTGGCAGAACATCCTCGGTCTTAAATGAGCCAGAACTACTTTTGCAATGCATAGATTCTGAAACTATATTTAAACAAAACAGAATCAAGGTGTTAAGCAGAGCAATAAATGATTATTTCTCCCGTGTATATTAGGAAGACATCTGAATGAAATGCTTGGTCTACACACTTTGTTTTGAGTTGTATGTATATACAGAAAACATGTTTCCTTCTGTCTAGAATTCCCTTCCCTGAATTATTTCCCAGAATCTTATTCATTTTTCCAAGTTCAGCTCCAATAACACCTCCTTTTTGAAGATCTCATAGAGCCTCCTGGCCATTAGATATCTTTCATTACAATCCCACATTGCTAGGTGAAAATCTTGCTGAACACAAATTAGGCTGCCTGCCACCTGAGATCCAGACACGGAGGCAAGTGTTGGTGAAGGAAAAGTGGTTCATTCAAGTGCAGGCAGCCTGAGGAGATGGCCGACGATTGTCTCAGAGACCATCTCATCTCTGCTTACTGAGCAACTTATAAAGGGAAAGGGTAAAGGGGGTTGGTGGCAGAAACCAAGCTTTGTTCAAGTCATCATGAAATAGTATAGGAGGCGAACTTTGGTTACCTGCCCGAGCCTTGAGCCAAATCTTAATCTGCTTACAATACTGAACAAAAGCTTCGAAAATGATTAACATCCAGCTTCAATGGAAGGTATTTCTGCTTTCTTTAACAGGATGTGACAACCATTGGAGTAGGAGTCCCATTGGCCCTGGTCAACACCAGCACAAACTGGTTACTACTAACATGAGACCCAAAGTTGATGGCTTACAGATAGACCTTTTGCCTAATTTTAATGCTAGAAATCATGCCCAAGGGTGGAGATTTAACATGCCCTTGGGCATGACAAGGGCATTTAACAAGGAAGGAAGTTGGTAGTACTATCTTTAGATGAGACATGACATGTATTAAGAAACATGATTGCCAGATGGGCAGCTGTCAACAAAACTCCACCTCTATGTGCTATGATTTCATTGCTAGCATCAAAGTTTCTCTCTCTCCCCTTCAAAACTTCCCCAGCCTGTTTTTTCAGAGAGCCAGTCTGGTAGCTCCTTAACCACCAGCACTGTTTCCCTTTTGTTCCAGCGAAAGCCCCCATCCCACAAAGCCTTACCTGTATAAATTCCTTGTTTGGTCTTGTGCCAATTTCTACTGACTCGGAGACCAAGAACCGTGAGCTTGTAACAATCTTGATTTGCTAGATGGTTATCAGCAGTGGATATTGTCATGAGCAATCTGAGGTTGGCCTATCTGGACTCATAATTTTCCTCAAGGTCATTTTCTAACCGTGTGCCAGCAGCTGTGTAAGCAAGCAGCACCTTAATTGTAAACTTTAAAGACAGAACAAACAGAAAGCACACTGGAAACAAAATGGCTTCCCGTTAGCCAACCTCACATTATAGTCTGAATGGCCCTTGAGGTGCCTTTACAAAAACGCTATTTGGAATTACATTCATTCAAACAGACTTGATTTTATTGAGCTCTTCCAATGTTAAGCTCTGTGTAGGTGCCGGGGACAAAAATATAATTAAAAAAAATTCTCTGCTCTCAAAAACCCTAAATCTAGAGGCATGTGCCTCTAGATGTGCCTCTATAATTATGGCACAAAAAAGGAATTTAGTCAGGAGGAAGTACTTGCACTACTAGATCTCAAGGAATAACCACAAGTTTGCTACACAAACGAGGAATGTGGTTGGCAGTACTATCCTTAGATGAGTCAAGAGAAGCCCCTGCCCTGTGCTCCCTCCATGCTTTCAGGGTCCTGCTGTGGCCTTTCTCTAGCCCTGTACCAGGGAAAAGAATAATGTGTGTGTATGTGTGTGTGTGTGTGTGTGTGTGTGTGGCGGGGGCTAGGTGAACGATAAATCAATGGCAGTCTGTTTATTGATAAGGATCTCCCTGGGCTTCCATCTTACTATTTCCTTCACTACCTTCTGGGCACCATCTGTGCACATGGATGCTGATGTCACAACCCCATGTCTGCTTACCTCTCGTGGTGCTCTACAGTGGAGTCCTTTCCTCTCTTTGCACACATCATTTCTCTCAGCTCTGCACCCTGGCACATGGAGTTCCCACTCTTCCTCTCACCTGCCTCTTCAAATGGTTACATCTCACTCACCACTCCAGTCCCATCTTTAATCTCAGGAGGTTACTTCTGGCCTCTAACTCTGGGTAGCTCCCTCCTCACCTGCTTTCATAGTTCCCTATATTTTCCCCACAACAACATTAGTACATGATATTGTCAATGACTGCTTCATAATGTGTATCATGCACTAGACTGCAAGCTCTAGGAAGGTAAGGAACTGTGCCTTACAGCCTTGCTCATGTCCTACATAGATTTGTCCATTCATTTGTTAAACAAATGATTGATTGAATGAATGAATGAATGAATGAATGAATAAAATACAGGTTGGCAGGTAGGCTTATGGTGGGACTGTATGGTTTGAATGGTCTTCCATTTGAATATTCATTGAGTTTTATTGTGTGTCAGATACTGTGCTTAGTCTGTCCAGGGAAAATCAATATGAGTAAGATTTGGTCTCTGTACTCAGTGACACTGATTCTAGAAGGATCAGTAAACTAAAATAATGATGCTACAGCATCACCATGTCCTTCCAATTTTATCTTTTTAATATCTCTATCCATTTCTTCTTTTCTACCCTCACTGACATGTAGTTCACAAACCTCATCATCTCTCGCCCATTGCTGTAGCAGTCTCATACCTGGTCTTTATGTCGTCTCACATGTAGTTCTGGTTAGATCTGAAGGCCATTTCATAGTTTTCTTCCAGAGATTGTTTTCTCATTATATTGGCAACACTAACACAGCTTCAATAGCTTACCTGAAAAGTTTATGCATGAAAAGTTTAAAATATTACTAATCATTTATTGAACCCATTCTTTGAACACCTACTATGTGTCAAACCCTGAGCAGGCACCAGTATAAAATATGAATGCAATAGACATGGCCTATCTTTGAGGGAGATACAGACAAAGAAATAGGCAACTATAATACAGTGCTATAAGTGTGAATGCCCAGAATGGTATAAAGGGGTAAGTTATGGTAGACTAAGAGGGCTAGTTCACACAAACTAAAGGAGTCAGATGGATGAAGTGATATTCAACAAAAGAATGTGAGAAATATGTATGTTTGAAAATGCTATATAATATAGAACACATTGTCCTACTCAAAAGAAGTTTGAATGTATCTTTTGAGGTGTAGAAAGCCAGAAATATTTAAGAAAAATTAGGCTATATTTTGGAACTTTGAATAAAAACAAATTGTAAAGTGGAGAATGTTTCCTGACTAATGATTTTAACAAAAAACTCAAAATTGACTTGTCAATGTTAATACTCAGGCATGTTATGAGGGTGTCAACTTAATTGTATCTTCCCAATCCTTTTCTTGGTCATCTTTTATCCCTCCCATCTTCTTTGTTGACAGAACTATCAAAGCTACATTTTCCTGTCCTGAAATTTAGGTTAATAAATGAAAAGCTTATTTCCATTGAGAATATTGATAGGCTCCAGATCTTGACTCTTGGGTTTTGAAAGAGGATGCTGCTTTTGTTAATGGAAATTCACGAGTGTTTAGAACACATTGACACAATAATTCCTAAGTGTGGGGTCAAAGGGGACCTATATTTGTTGGCAGGAGGCACTAGTTCAAATCAAATCAGCAGTAACCTTAAGACCATTAGATACCGAGAGCTCTTAAAGTGGTGCCATATCAAAGTTTGATATATAACTCTAAGTGATGTTGCCTCTGGAAGTCACAGGATCTGTCTGTGCTGCTTTTGTCAGTTCTACTTTCTCCATCTGTGCTGAGCTACAACCACCTAAGCCTGATCATGAGTTTCCAGTTCCCTAATGGACCAATGCTGAGGACTCCAGTCCACTGAGACAAAGCCTGATTCTTGCTGGACCTCCTTACCTCAGTGGAGATTAAGATGCTTTTTCTCATATGCCAGTTCTGGAAATACCAGGATGGAATTCTGCTTCCAATATACTGATTGGCAGAAACCATAATATTTACCTTTTCATTCTTCAAGTATTCTCTATAATGAATGCTTCTCCATTCCACATTTTGGTGATATATATATATATTATATATACATATAATATATATATATATTCAGCCCTGATATATATATATATATATATATATATATATATATATATATATTCAGCCATATAGCCCATTCACACTATATATAGATTATATATATATAATCTATATGATAGGTAATTTTCACAAATCAAAGTTGAAAAGTTAAATAATCTGGAGAAGAGTACATTCTTGCTAAACTCGATCTGGGATTCAAATCCAAGGTGTCTGTCTGACTCCATAGCCTGTGCACTGACTTGGTCACTCACATATAAGGTTGGCCAGCAAGCCAACAAATACCCCAACTTAAGTTTCTGGTTCATGAGGTTGACCAACAATATTTAAGATAATATCAATGAGCAGGGTGATAGCATGCAAAACTTAGCGCATCAAATGTCATATCAGAGTAGTGATTTATACTGTTTCTATAATATGGATAAGTTACTGGCTCACTAAATTTCTTAGTTCCTACTCTTTTAGTTGTTTTCCATCAAGCACTAAAGTCATTTATGCTGTTGTTCTTTTTTGCTTTCATTCATTAACTAATAATAATAATGATAAGGGGGTTGAAGTGGCACATTGGAAGTAGATTATTATTTTATGCCATTTCCTTTCTCAATAGCAAGCAGTTTTTAAGAATGGTCTCTTCCCTCCCAGGTTTAGCATGCCAGTAGATGTTAAAGCTGCCTCTGAATTCAGGATTTTAGACAGTCAGTATAACAAGCAGGGTCAACAAGATGTCTGTTTGGTGATGGTCTACCAGATGGTTGATTGGATAGTGGTTAGTCTTATGGACAGATGGGTGAGATTAATTGGAGGAAGACTCAGTTTGACAAATATATTTGACCTTTGTGTGTTTGTGGGATGTGTTTAATGGTCAATTTGGGAGGCAAGAAAACCAGAAAGAGACCTATAAACATACAAATTCTCATATTCTCTCTCTCCTCTTTTCCTCTCATTCATCCAAAATCCCATCCTTAGATACCTCAGGGTCCAGCAACACTCTGGGCTTTGAAATCATTCTCATTCCTGGAAGATTCCTTTGGGATGTCCTGAAATTACCCTGATCTTTCCAGGAGACTTCCCAGCCAAGAAAACATGACTGAGACTTGGCACTGCACAGTTTAATCTGCATACTCGAGGTTCCTGAATTATTTTGACATTGCTCTCTAACCTACAGTTTGGTAAATGAGAAGAGAGAAGAAAGAGGAATTCCCTGGATGGTATATTAGAAGCTCACACAATTAGATTCACAACCCCTTTTTCTGAAGAACTAAAGATAAATGGAAGAAGAGAAATGAACCTCATCTACATTGGGACACCAAAGCAAATTAACCACCACAGGTGAATAATAATGAACATTCTTAATGACTGAAGAGCATTTGTCTATTCCTTACTGCAGATTTTTTGGGTTTTTTTTGTTTTCTTGTTTTTGTACTATAAATGGCCACTTCTGGTTGACTTTTTAGCTCTTGTCTTTTTTAGAATAGATCATGCAACCAACAATCAAGACCCATTTCAAAGTGATTCCTCCTGTTTTAACCCAATTTATATAAATAATAGCAGCTTCATGTGCTATCCCTCCCAGAATAGCTGCCTTTAAACATAGAATTCCTATAAATGGTAATAATTAAGTTCAAAAGAATTTTACGGCTGTTGGAATTCCAGGTATCATGCCAAATTGTGAAGGAAAATGTTTAGGTCAAAGAATCCTCCCACGACCCCCTTTCCCTTCGATACCTCCCCAAACACAATAACTTTCCATGAAGAGAGGCCAGATGTGGAACAAAGTGGCTGAAAATATGTCTTCATTCATTAATAAAAGGATATCTCTTTTGGAATCTGTTTTCCTCCTTCAATCAATATGCCTCTAATCACTCTGCGAATTAGGCATTTAGAATAAAGTAAGAACAAATCTATTCATCTCTTATTCTAGTCCAGCTATATCAGAGAATCAATAGAAATTGATTTAAATTTTTAACCATGGAAGAAATTTTTTGCGAGGGCTTCTAATTACAGATTGAACTTTTAAAACAGTTATAGGCCTATTAAGACTTTCCAAGTAAACACAAGAAGGAATAGAAAATCTGAATAAAAATTTAACACCTAGCAATAAGACATTTAGCAGAGTAGGATTAGAAAAGCAATTTCCTTGGCCAAAAAAAAGTAAAATCAACCAAATGGAATAAGTTCCCAAGGGCGCCAAGAAAAAAGCCCAAAAAATGAAGGAACTAAAAAAAAGGAAAACCAATCCCCCAAAAAACTGAAAAATAAAAAGCCAAAAACAAAGGGGCAACAAAGGAACCAACCCCTGAAAACCCTTTGGAAGCCCCGAAGGAGAATTTGTTCCATGCCTCTCTCCCAGCTTCTAATGACTGATGACAGTGACTGATGACAGTGACTATCCATTTCTTGGCTTATAGACATTTTTCTAGTCTCTGCCTCAGTTGTCACATGGCATTCTCCCTATGTATTTCTGTATCCCTCTGTCCAAATGTCCTTCTTATGAGGATAATAGTCATTAAATTAGACCAACCTTAATCTATTATGACCTCATCTTAACTTGATTATGTCCTTGTAGACATTATGTCCAAATAATGTCACATTCACAGCTACTGGAGGTTAAGACTTCAAAATATCTTTTGAGGAACACAAGGTAACCCAAAACAATACCTAAAGGTAAAATATTAAAGTCATTCCTCCCTAGGTTAGAAATGGGGCAAAGATGTCCACTATTACTACTCATACTCAATAATTATGTTGTACAGTATAAGACAAGAAAAAGAAAAGGTATGAAGAGTGAAAAGAAAGAAATAACAGTGGTAGGTTTTGGGTACAATATGATTATGTACATATAAAATACAAAATAATCTATAAATTATTAGTAAGTGAATTTGGTGAAGTCATGCAGAAACAAGGTCACGTATAAAATCAGTTGTATTTCTAAATGCTTGCAACAAAAATCAGAAAATAAAAATTTTATAATGGTGCCATTTAGTCTAAGAAAAATTTTAACAAAAGACATACATTATCTCTCCACAGAAAAATAAAACATGTGAAAGAAATTTAAAATGACTCAGTAAATAAAAGTATATACCATATTCTTAGATCATAACACTACATATTTTAAAAATAGCAATTATCTTCAAATTGATCCAAAGAGTTAATGAAATTCCAAAGTTCCAGCAAGTTTTTTTGTTTTTGCTGAAATTGATAAGTTGTTTTGAAAATGTATATGGGAATTAAATGATCAAAAATAGCTAAGGATATCCAATAACATTGGATGACATATTACCAGATTTCAAGACTTACACTGTATAGAAACACAGTAATTAAGACCATGTCATATCTGTGCAAAAATAGACAGAGACCAACAGAACAGAACAGAGAGACTAGAAAGAGATCCATACGTACAAACTTACTTGCTTTGTGACAAAAAAGCCACTGAGGGAAAACACTGGTCTTTTCAATAAATTGGTTTGAATCAATTGCTTACCTATACAAAAAAAAATTTTTTAAGTCTTGACCTCTCCTCACACTATGCACAGAGATAAATTCCATACCTAAATGAGAAAGCCTAAACAATAAAGCTTCTAAAAAGATAGCATAAGAGAAGGCCTCCATGAAATTGGAATTGGCAAATATTTCTTAAAGAGAGAAAAAAGTATTAACTTTAAGATAAAAACTTAAACATTTGTACCCTCATAATATGCTGAAATAAAAAAATCAATAATTTTAATTTTATTAAAATTAAGAATCTCTATTCGGCAAAAGACACCATTACAAAAGAATGAAAAAGCAAGTGATAGTGAGATATGATATTTCCTATACAATCTGACAAAATATGTTTTAAAAACACAAACTCACACGTAAGGAAAAAGATAAGCAATTCAATAGAAAACCAGGCAAAAGACTTAAATATACTTTATAAAAGATGGCGTCCAAAAGTCTGATAAACAAATGAAAGGTGCTCAATATCATCAGATAAATATAAATTAAAGCCACAATGCGATAACACAATGCATCCATCAGAATGACTAAAATTAAAGACTGACAATACAACAGAAATGCATACATATAGCACACACACATGTGTGTACCCAAAGACTTATACAAGAGTATTCACAATAGCAGTATAACAATATTCAAAAACTGGAAACAAGCTGGGCACAATTCGGGAGCCCGAGGCTGGAGGATCACTTAAGCCCAGGAGTCCAAGATTACAGAGAGCTATGATGGCACCACTGCACTCCAGCCTAGGTGACAGAGCAAGACTCTGTCTCTCTAGAAAAAAAAAATAATTAACTTTGTAGAAGGTATAATAACTTATGGTGTTAATGTTCTGGTTAATAAGTTAATGTAATATCATGTGTTCACTTTCATGATTGATGGAGCTGTACACTTAAATTTTGCATTTTATTTTCTATATGTATTATATTTCAATTAAAATTTTACTTAAAGAAAAACTGGGGAATATGCTTGGATTGGAATGAAATCCAAGGGTGTTAGCACAGAGAGGAAGATTTAATTTTAGATTGGGTTGATTTTACTAGTGGGGGTGCACTGAGCATGTAGTCTGAATTTAATGTGCTAGGTTGAGCAGGTGGAACAGGTTTAAATTGTTTGCTCATTTGAATGCTGCAATTCAGAATCGACAGGGCCTACATTAAATGAGGTTGGGATTCTATAAGTTTGTTTTATTATTGCAATGTGGAATTAGCTAGGGAATTTTGGAGAAGTATTTATTCCTGAATCTTATGTTTAGAGAGTCCTGTGTAGAAGTGCAGCCTGGGCAACAGGATTTTTAAGAACTCCTAACCTGATTCTAATGAGCTGCCAAGGTTGAGATGTAGAGAATGGAATTCAATAACTTACAAATAGAAGAGAGTGTTGGATAAGTGAGACTCATCCCTTAACTAATCCTCCCTTTGCCCCCACCACACACATAAGTCCTGGAAGATGCTCACTTCACAAGAGCATGCATAGAGAAGTATATTGGCAAAGGGAACGTCAGCATTTTAAAAAAGAACTTTAATAGCTGTTTCCTGTTGATAAGGATGTGGGAAGCAAATGCCATCATTGAAACAGGTTCTATAAACTTCAGTGAAGATGGGGAAATCCTGAGTAGAAAGAGGCTAAGTAGCAGCAACTTACCCAACCAAGACAAGATGGAAATGGTTATCGTAATAGGTCCCAAGGCTGAAGTTGATAACCAGATCATCCAAGCTACACATTTAATTAAGGGGGACACCATTAGGACTAAACTAGAATGGTCAATTTTAGGTACTAATTGACTTGCATAATAAAAAAAATCCTCTAGAGCTGGCTAACAGAGGTCTAACTTGAGCCTTGGTAAAAGTGAAATATAGTTTCTGACTGAATTCTCAGACTTGGGTTATTTCAGACACCCAGAGTTCCTTACCTGAATGGAAGCCTAGTATACTTGAGGGAATAACACAAGTTTGTATCATCAATTTTTCTGTCCTTCCCTAAAGCACCTCTGAACTCTGACTTTGAGCTGATTACTCAGTTCCTGGGGACCCAGAATACCACGCTGCTTCAATAGTTATGTAAGTCAGATGATAAATGTTTAAGTTTTGCCCAAGGCCCACACCACAGTGTGAGTCTATTTGTCTAATTCCTGAGTATTTCTCAGTAATCAGCAGAAGTACCATAGTAGCTCCTTGATCCATGCCAAAATTATAAGCCAAAAGTAATACTACATCCCTGAGGGGGAAAAGCAATTACTGCTACTGTCTGAAAGATTGGCCTGAAAGATTTAAGGGTAATGATTCCTATCACTTCCCTATTTAACCCGGACCTAGTGAATCAGAAACTCTGAAGACGTTGTCTAGCAGCCTGTGCTTGAATGAGCTCTCTAGGTAATTCTAATGTGCATTTAAAGTTTGAGAACCACAGATACAGAGTGCTTATTGCTGAATCTCAAAAAGGAGAGAATACCTGGAAGTACGTTGCTTTAACCTGGAAGGGACAGGATACACTCTCCACCTAGCCTGAGAGCTACATTAGTTCTTCAGACTTATACCTTTATTTAGTCTATGGATACCTTCTACATCTCAGCATCACCACAGGACATCACCTGGTTCCTACATTACTGACATCATGCTTGTAGCACCTGGTTCCTACATTACTGACATCATGCTTGTAGGAACTATAACAAGATATTATATAACGGTGCTCTAGGTAATGTGGTGAGATACATGTGTATCAGAAAACAGGAAATATTTTCCATGAAAATACAGACTTGAGCCACCACAGTGAAGTTTCTAGGAATCAGTGGTCTGGGACATTGTGGGACACCCTTTCCAAATTGAAAGCAACTTGTTGCACCTTTTATCCCTTCCCCCATCAATTACCAAATTCAAAGGCATGTTGTCAGCGGGTTTGGGTTTCAAAGGTAACAACATGGTCGTATGTGCTATCCCAGCCTATTTATCAAGGGAATCAAAAGCGTAAAAACTTTGATTCAGGCTCAGAGGAGCAGGTGGGTCTCCAACTGACTCGGGCAGATATTTGGTCCTCAGGACCCAGCAGATACTCTGTGGAAGATCCATGTGGTAAACAGAGTCTATGGCAAGCCCGAATAGAAAAATCAAACCAGAGCTTCCTGATGGGTTAGAGTATACCTTCTTAAACAAATAACTATATATTCCTTTTGAGAAGTAGCTACTGGAGTGCTACTGAGCTCTGGCAGAGACTGAATGTCTAACTATGAAACACATGGTGATCATACAATCTGAGCTATCTGTAATGTATATGGTTTTATGTGATTCATCATCATAAGCTTGTTTATATCCAATAATACTTTATGAACAAGTGGAAATGTTATATAAAGAAAGGGGCTCAGGAAAATCCTGAAGGCCCAAGTAAATTACATCAACAAGTGGATCACATGCCCAGTCTGCCTGCTTCTAACCCATCTCTTCCTAACCCAAATCAAAGGTCTTCCAAAGAATTTCTTATGATTACTTAAGAAAGAAGAAAAAACTTTAAGCCTGGTTTACAGATGTTTTGAATGATATCCTATAGTGATATAGATCTGTCCTGAGTATTGTCTAAGGGCAATCCTTTCAGGAGGAAGAATTTCATCCATGAAAAGAAAGATGACCTGAAGTATGCATCTATCGTGATTCATGGAATGTGACTAATGGCTTGGCTAGATTTTCAGAGATATTAAAGGCAAAAGATCAGAGATCTCTTGTGGCAAGGAGATTTGGCAATGTGTTACATGAATAAAACTCTCAGAATTGTCCCATAATGGTTCGACATTGCACAATAAAAGGTCCCAACTGTGCTGGAGATTATCAGTGATCAGGTGGAGGAAATAACTGACTTGAAGATGCCAGTCTGCCTCTTTTCCAGTTTTCCTAGTGCTTGTTCAGCATGAAAAACACCTATGGTAGCAGGGATGGAGAGTGAGCACAAGCTCAGCCAGAAGGACTTTATCTCACCAATGCTGACCCAGCCATCACCACAGCTGAGTCCTCATTGTGTCAGCTGGAGTGGCCACTGCTTATACTTTGACTGGCTTCCATAGCCTGGGGGATCTGCCAGCCAGCTGGGAGTAGGGTGAATTCATTGGACTCATTATGGGGTAGAAAAATGACTTTCCCTCACTGGAATAAACATTCTTAATTTTTATTTTGTTGTGCCTGTCAGTCTTCTGCCAGCAGCACCATGTGTGGACTTACTGATCATCTTAGTCATCATTGTGAGATTCTACACAATGTGACTTCTAACACGAGATGTCACTTTACAAAGAGGAAGACAGTCAGCGGACTGATGCCCATGGATTCACTGTGTTTACCATTTACCCCAGATCCCCCAAATGAGCTAGCCTTAACAAATGGTGGAATGTTCTAGTAAAGACATAGAGTGTCAATGGGAGACTACACCCAATCAGTGAGGTTGGTATGCGATTCTATAAGGTATTGATTTTCCCATAGTCAGAGAACACGGTACCAGAAACAAAGAAGAGGAAGTGTAGTGAAGCTGCACTTCTCACTGTTATATCTGATAAAGCACTTATACAATGCTATGCTTTTTACTCTGCCTATGCCTCCAGGATCTATAGGTCTTAGTTCCCAAGGAAGGAAACCCAATATGGTAAACTAATATTCCTTCAAGCTATTCTGAGTTTTTCATGTCATTAGGCAAAAAGGTAAAAGAAACGGATGAGTAATCCTATTACTAAAGGAGCTGGGAAGAATATGTATTTATTCACAGAAATTCTCCAAAAAGATAATTAAATTTTAGACTGGTTAAAAGACTTAAAAAGATGCTTTACAAAAGAAGACATTTTTTAAATGATGGATAAGCAGATGAAAAGATGTTCTATATTTTTAGTCATGCAATATAAATTAAAACCACGAGGAGATACTACTACATGCCCACTAAAATGGTTAGAGTTAAAAAACCAATTACCAATACAAAGTGTTGATGAGGAGTTGGAGCAACTGGGACTCTCACACATTGTTGGTAAGAGTGTCACATGATACAGCAACCTTAGAAAATAGTCTGGAGGTTTCTTATATACTTACATATGACCTAGAAATTCTACTTCTAAATAATTACCCAAGATAAGTACAAACATGTCTATACATGACCATCCAGGAAGGTTTGTTCATAATAGTCAAAAACCCAAATGTCCATTAATAGGTGAATGCATAAATTACAGTATATTTACATAATGGAATGCTATTCAGCAAAAGGTATGAACTTCTGAAACATACAAAAACATGCATGAATCTCAAAAACATGCTGAGCCAAAGAAGTTAAGCACAAAAGAATGCACACTATATGGTATCATTTCCGTGAAGTTACAGAACAGTCAAAATTGATCATATAGATATCAGGTCAGTATTTACCTGAGAGAGGGTATGGGAGTTGACTATAAATAAAGATATAATTGAGGAACTTCCTAGGATAGTAGATATGGTCTATCTGGTCCATACTGTATGAAATATTAAGGCAAAGGTTTTAACAAACCCAGAGGAGTTATAAATATGATGAGAGGTCTTGGACTTGAAACCAAATATAATCACTAGGTTAATCCCACTGGGGGAAGTTGTAAGTGATTTTTTTTAATGCAATGAGAGATTGTTGCATTATGGTAGATGAGGGCATTTTTTAAGTGCAAGAATGGGAAGAAAGATACAGGTTGTTGTTAAAAAGCCAAATACATGAAATATAGTAGATAGCTAAAAATAAAATCTTTTTGACAAACCAGCCCTTAAACCTTTTCACTAAGTTTGAGGAATATCCTACCTTATAAATATGGAACTCCTAAAGTTATACATTATTTCCCAAGCCTGCCTTGCAGCTAAGACATGGACATAATGACTTAGGCTCCTCCAATGTGTTGCACCTGCTCAGGGTTGGAATCCAGAGATGAGGATGAGAAGAAGCAGCGACTACCAGAAGAACTCTCTCTCTGGGGAAGCAGCAGTAGTGAGTTCAAAAACAACAAGTCCCCTTGTGGCAAAGGTGCTAGTTATGGATTCTGTGTCCAGGGGCAATGGGTTTGGCATCTTCAACTTGATCAAGTCCATTACATCAGATCCCTTACTGCTACAGCAGTATTGTCCTCACTGGACCATTTCTGTGATTTTTGTCTATTGTCCCTGACTGTGTTGCCCTGAATCTAATTTTCTTAGGATCATTGAGACTCTGTAACACAACAAACATTCATGAAGCAATTTTTTTTCTTAAACGAGACACATTTGATTTTCATTGATTGCATTTAAAACTCCAACTGATAAAGAGGAGTTTGGGGAAGTGTCTTGCAGAAGGCGATGCCTGAGCTGTGTCTAAAAAGGATAAAGTTTACAAAGAAAATAGGAGATAACAGACAGGAAAGGACGCTAGAGAAGCACAATGGCAAGTATTTGGGTGTGGTTGGAACATGAATTTCAAAGCAGAGAGTCACTAAAGTTTAGGCTGGCAGAGTCAACAGGAGACAGATAATGTAGGATCTTACATGTTATATATTGAGGAACTTGAACTTTATCCCATGGTTGATGAAATGCCATTAAGTGGTTTTCAGTGGGGAATGACATGGGTTCATTTGCATTTTAAATAGTTCACACTGGCAGCTGCGTGGAGAATGGATTTGACTGGTATATAATTGGAAGCAGCTAGAGCTATTAGCAGGTTCTTTTGGTAGTTCGCATGAGAAATGATGAGTCTAAACAGTAATTTCATTGAGATAGAACTGAGGAGACAAAGTTAAGAGATCTGTTTGCAGATGACATCATCTTGTATGTAGAAAATCATAGGGAATCTATTGAAAGAAAACTGTTAGAACAAATAAGCAAGTCCAGTAAAGTTACAGGATATAAGATCAATTTATAATTATTATTTTCTTTAGTTCTTGAACATATTTATAATGACTACTTTGAAGTTTGTTAAATCTAAAATTTACCTCTCACAGGCAGTTTCTGTTGTTGTTGTTGTTGTTTTTTTTTTTTTGTCTAGTGTTCAGGTCGTACTTTCTTGTTTCTTTGCATATCTTTTAATATATTTTGGGGAAATTGGACATTTTAGATAA